TACAGAGATTCCATCTTCACTTGTTTTACTCAAGGAAATCCAACATTTCAAGCTTTTGTACGTATCTTCCATCTGGGCACTATGCGCCACTGGAAAGGATGACATATAGTATCCATTATGCAGCAACATCGACAAAACTTAGAAGAGTTTCCATTCTTGTGTGTGACGGGTATTTCTAAAGCATCCATGAGGTTTTGTGTATCGGAGTAGAATAACAGATAATCTTCATTACTGAAGAGAGGCCCCGATTGCCCTTAGCGCTTTCGATTTGGAGTAATTCGGACATATAGAAGATCCGGCTGTTTGAACCTTGAAGTTAGCAACTCCCCCCGGGTTATTGGATAAGTACTAATCTCGAACAGATTCATTCCTTTCTTCCTGTGTTTTACTGCCTGGGGTCGATGATACAGTCCAGTAAGTGTCTGAGTCATCATTTGCTGGCGGATAAACGGAAGACCAGATCGACTCACCCTTGTCCCGATCAGCTGAATTGGGAGAATACAAAATGAATGCATTATATAATCGCTTTTTGGTCAAAAGGCGCTTGTTACGGTGTGAGCAGGTGAATGCAAGCGTTTTCCGATGGAATGACCACGGTTGGTCGGAAAATGTGCGAAAATATCAAAAGCATACCGGAAACATAATTAAGCTGAGTATGTACGTAGGCGAGTTGCTTGGATTGTATATGTTCGCTGCATTTGTGACTGACCGATCGGGTAACGAGTGTGCGAAAGGATCAAGAAGTGTTTCGAGATAGACGCCTGATTTCCGTGACTTGGATGTATGTATGTATTCGCAACAGTCTATTAGCTAGACGCAGAGCCAGCCTAAAACCATGGAGATAAGGAGATAAGCAAGATTCATGGCGTCATAATCATCGTGGCATGCTAGTTGAAGGTGAGCAACACACTTCAACTAATATGCTGCAGGAAGAATGGAACATTTTGATAAAAAGTAGAACAAAACATTTTTAGTTTGTTTTTCACACGCCGCTTTTGTTCTTTTTTGTCATTTTAATGTTTGTAGAATTAAACATGTGAATCAATACAATAATGTACACAATTCTTCCACTGATTCCGTTGGCGGGCCGTGTCTTCAAGAGTGCTAAGCCACTGGCACTCCTCATCTTTGGGTCCCCATCCTGGAAGACGTACGGATCCAACAGGGGTTAGACACGTCAGCGACTTCATGTGCTGCCACCAAGTGGTAGGCTGACCACCACGCGGTCGCCTCCAGCCAGGTCCTTGACAAGCGAATAGAGCGCGGCGCGGTAGACGCTCAGGTGCCATGCGTAGGACGTGACCGAGCCATCTCCACTGGCGCAACAAAACCAGTGTGTTGAAGGGAATACTCGCATTCCCCAAGATGCGACGGCGAACGTCATTACTATTAACTCGATGTTGCCACCAAACACGCGCGATCCTCCTTAAGCAACCGTTATCGAACGCAGAAAGACGACGCATGTCTTCCACGCGAATCGGCCAGGACTCGCACCCATACAACGATACTGAGCGAACTGATGCGCTGTAAACGCGACACTTTAGTGAGAATGAGACGTCACGACGACGCCACAAGTGCCTCAGATTGACAAATGCTGTTCGAGCTTTAGCGATCCGAAGAGAAACTTCTTTGTTGATAGTGCCGTCAGCAGAAACACAGCTCCCAAGGTAGACGAAACTATCTACCTGTTCAAGTTGTGCACCTTCGAGTGTGAGTACGGGAGCAGGTGAAAGCCAATCTTTGAGCAATACTTTACACCTCGATGGGGCGAAGCTCATGCCATACTTAGATGCTTCAACCGCCAAACGATCCAGAATGAGTTGCATACTCTGAGGATCGTCACCAAGTAAGGCGATATCATCAGCATAATCTAAGTCGGTCGCGCGCTCACCCGGTAGAAGCTCTAAGCCAAAATGTTGGAAACCTTCTAGAGCATTCGACAGAAGGTCTTCGATTGCGAAGCTGAAGAGGAATGGGGACATAGGGCAGCCCTGTCGCACACCGCTATTAACAGTGAATTGCGAGGAAAGCTTGCCATAGACCCTCACTCTGTCGGCTCTATAAAGGTAAAGTGCTCGTAAGATGGCGATATATTTCTCTGGCACTCCATTCTTTAGTAAGCAACGCCATAAAGCAGGTCGATCAACGGAGTCAAAAGCGGCAGGTATGTCTAGGAAGGCAACGATAGTGGGCCTGTGATAAATGTGGCGATGTTCAAGGAGTTGGCGGAACGTGAAGATTTGATCCACGCATCCGCGGCCAGGACGGAAACCAGCTTGTTCTTCACGGTAGTATGATTCACGTACTGGGGATAGTCTGCGAAGCAGAATGGATGCCAACAGCTTAGAGGCAACCGAAATAAGACTAATCCCGCGATGATTTGCACATGAAGTGCGAGCGCCTTTCTTGAAAATTGGGACAATAACTGATTCGCCCCAAGAGGAAGGCACTTTCTCTTCATGCCAAATTTTTGCGAACAGCGCGGTTAGCTGGTTAACGACTGCCACACCGCCATACTTGAATAGCTCCGGAGGAAGTCCGTCTAAGCCGGCAGCCTTGAAGCGCTGCAAGCGTCGAATCTCGAAGCAGACTTCTGCTTCGCTGGGTGGATTCAATGGGACGAGCCAGGGTGGACAGCAAGGTGTACTGCATGTACTGATGGATGGTGGAGGCCAGTTGAACTGCGAGTGAAAGTGCTCGGCCCAACGATCCATACGCCTCTGTTGGTTGGTGATTTGTGACTCATCCACCTCACAAATGACCTCACTGACACAAGGTTTCCTGAGGCCAGTAGACCGAATGAGTTGGAAAAGCCTGCGTGTGTTGCCAGAGAGGGCAGCGGTCTCCATCTCTAAAGCACGCTCAGACCACCATGTCTCGCGGTCCTTGCGTAGGCTTTGCTTGAGCAGCCGGTTGGTAGAACGGCGCCGCTCGTTGCAATCTGGTTCCGCAAGTATATCTTTGCGGCGTTTGAAGAGCTCCAGAGAAGGAGCAGAGATACAAGCCTTCAATGGGCGTCGAGTTAGACCGCAGCATGACTGTCCGGAAATGGTCATTGCCTTCTCTATACAAGTCCAGTGTTGTTCCACTTCTTGCGGTGGATTGCAACTGAGTGCATGTGCCAGTGAAGACTGATAGCTCGTCTGGAGAGAGGAATCAGTTAATCAGTTTACATCAATCTTGCGGTGCTTCGTGTTTCGGGATCCTCCAAAACACATATAGATTTTCGTGCAGACCAGAGCGTGATCTGAGTCAACAAAGGTGGACCAAAAGGACCTGCAGTCCAGTACGCTGCCGCGCCATCTGAAGCTAATTGCAATGTGATCAATTTGAGACCACGGTTGTGTTGAAGAAGGGGGACGCCACGTTGCGGAACGCTTCTTCGTACGCCTGAAGTTAGTGCTCGGAAGAAACAGACGGTTGTCTTCGCACAATTTGAGAAGTCTCTCTGCGTTATCAGAGCGGTTCTCATCGAGCGAGTGATGACCACCAAGGTGGCGTTCGTATGGTAACAGGCGGCCAACCCGTGCATTAAAATCCCCAGCAAGGATAACGACATCCGACTTTTTAGCATTAGTCAAGAGTTGTTGTAGATCCCGGTAGAGTTCGTCCTTGACCGAGTCGCCAATGCAGTCAGTTGGAGTGTACACGGAGATCACATACAAGTTGTGTCTCTCTTCGCGGTGCCTATTGATTCTACACGAACCCCGAAGCCGAACTGCACATAGTCGGCTGTTAATAGGGAACCAGTCCAGTAGTGCCGCCTCGGCCTTGTCACTTAGTGCTATACCTACACCAGCCAGACCCGCTGAGGCTGCTTCTGGATCTCCAGAAGGACGCAGGTGATATCTGGCTTCGTGGTCAGTGGGGGATGTCAGTGTAAGCACAGTGCTGGGATCTTGCAATCGGGTTTCTGAAAGGCAGCAGACATCAATGTCTAGGGAATCTAGAGTGCGCGCTAGAGCGGCTTGCTGTCCAATCTGCCTGAGTGTCCGAACGTTGAAGCACGCCAGACGTAACGAGGATCGGGGACAAAGGAGAGCCATAGGTTGAACCTCTTGGTCTGCGGCGCAACCGGAATCGCAGCCAGATTGTTGAGCACATGAATCGGGTAACGGAAAGTGAGGATTGTTAACAAACAAAAAATTGGCGTGTGAAGAAGTCGCGTGAAAGTGACTAGCAGAAACAGCAACTGATGAGCAAGTTGTAATACAGTTCATGGTTTTGCGAGAGGGCGTGATACTACCCGGTTGCCCAAGCCGAAGTAGGGCGTTGACTTAGGGTACTCCACCCCGAGCCTTTGGCTAAATAACCTACCCGCAAGGCAGCGGGGCGAATTTAGGGAATCGCGCCCATTGGAAGGCGTTGACTGAATGTTCAGTTCATGCGTCTTTGTTTGGTAGATTACCAAACAGGGGCCCAATACTCCCCATATAGTCAGCACACCTGCTGGAATAAAATGTCCCACCGAGGTGGAACATTGTCGCCGAACACTTTGCTGGAACGGGGTACACGCGAACCACCCAGCTGGCACCACGAGGAGGTTGTTCGGCAAGCCAGCCCCGTGACTTGGATAATATCATCCGGATAAGCAACGGGCCGTGACTTTATCTAGTGATGAGTCGCATCCGCCTCATCGCTACGTTGTTAAACAGACATTTTTGGATTTTATGGAAAGAATGATTTCCAGGCGAAAACCCACTATATCCTGGTAGATTGTTGATGAGCTGTTTGCTGGAAGCGGATACATCCAAAGCACCCAGCTGAAACTATAGGGATGTTATGCTCTCAACCAGTCGGAGATGCTCAAGAGAACACTTGCATTTATTTGAAATAATGCGTTCCAACTGCGGTCATAGTGAATCATGCGAATATGACATCCGAACTGCAACCGTAGGGAATTTTATGCGGGTATGACTTTGTAACATTGTTGTATCAGTTTTGTTGTGTTGGAGCCCATCAAGACTCTATTTCCCTCATCAATTGTACTTTTATAATAGTGGTTCCCTGCGAGACGTGGGCTTATCGTTGGACTAACTGTTGGCGGATTTGGCTTTGGAGCCCTAGTTTTTACACCGATTCAAACCGCTTTCATCAATCCAGCGAACCTCAAGGTGGACAATGTTACTAGGTAAGCAACCACGGAAATTTTGTTCAGTTAAACTACACATGGATTTTCAGCTGCGTTTGAAAAACTTTTTGGGCTTTAGTGTACTTTGATCGCTTGTCACCATCTACTGCATTATCAACGGTAGTGCGTTCTAATATTGTACTGGTACTTCACCACTTTGCAGTCAAAACATATGAACTACACTCGATAAGACGGATGGGTGAGTTGAGCAGGAGCATTTATCGTAGAGCCTACGTTACTAAACTTGCATATACTTTCAGTGCGCCTAAGCCATACTAACACCAGATTAACCTAAACTCTTGCTTACTGCGTGAAGTTTTCGCGGCACCACTGAAACGAATCACATGCTCTTTCATCACACCACATCATAAATAGTTTCGTTTCCACGGCAGCTGCGAACCATTCGCACTTCCGGTGCGCGGTCAGTCATCATTTGAAACGGAAGAAAGCAATCAGACGGCGCCAATCATCAGCTATGTCCTGCATACTTTAGTTGCAAACGCAACATGTGTGCTTCAACTCCTATACAAAGGTTAGACAAAGTGATCACCCATGTCAAGTACTATGGGACATCATTTTCCATTGACGAGTCACGACTCACCTACGGGTTTCTCGCCCAATTGGGAAAGCAAGGCACCAATCCGTAATCGTTGCTCAGACCTACTTGACACGTACTCGAACCGACGTATAGTATCCAGCCTCATCCTTGGATCTGACGCATTGATTTGATAAACGCTTTCGATTACTGGCCTACTCATCTCATCTTATCGCGAGTGCACTGGTGTCACATTACCCAAGCAATACTACGCAAACACAGATTATCAGGACTTGTTTACGTGGGGTGGATGGGCTGCGCATTGTTGACGATTATCAAAAGTTTGAAAGGACCCGCTGCACTGCTTCTGATTTGTGGTAACCGTCTCGTTGACCGTAACTATGCATATCACTGCTTGCAACCTCAAAATTCCCTTACTACTCCCCAGATCATAAAAGTTTAAAAGCACTCTCATGGTGTATTTGCTGGGCAATGTTTCGCTTTTGACGCCAAAGCTTCGTCTAACCTGATGAATAGGTATGCAATTATTCCGGCATTTTAAAGCAAACTCATGACGCAAGGTCGGATTTGGAGAACCTACTTTGTGGTTGGATTTCGACTGGTAAGTTCTATTGAAACCTCGGTTCAATATAAGCTAGACCTCGGTCATTCTGATAGCAAGGACGTGTCCGAAAGGGAGGTATTTCTATGTTGGGATGAACAACACCAAAATTCTTCCAAACTCAGGACTCCTTCTTTTATATCCGTTCCCTTCCATCACTATGAAGACAACTGCTAATCTAAATCACAGCTAGTATACTAGAACAAGAAATTTGTGATTGTTTCTCTTCTTGCTTTCTTCACTAAAAATGAATGCAAAGTTGTGATTTCATCTGCTTTGATTAGAGCAGGTGATTCAGCGAGTAACCGCCTAAAGTGTCTTTTTTTTGCTATAGCTCACGGTCCCATGTACTGTAGTCCAGACGGCATCATGGACACTTTTGTAAACAACTTTCTCTCATCCAAATGACGAAAAGTTCGGTCATCATCATCGTTTCAGGGAGGGGGAGGACTTCAGTGCTCAAATTGACCTGTGACCGATTGTGATCTAACGGTTACTAGTCCGAATCTGCTTTTGAGTAGACGACCTCGGCGTATTCTCCACCGGCGCTAGTCAAGGGGGTCACATGATATAAGAGTGTTGGTACGGTGTACCGGCGTACTACATTTGCCTTTCTATCTTTGGCCTCATAAAGTTCGGAACATGACGCCGGGGATATTCAAATGCGCGTCCGTCATAGCCGGTGTATCAACAACATAGCCGTCCTGCAGAAGTGCTCACACTGATTTACATGGCGGCCAACGCAAGACCGATTGCTTTCATCTTGAAATGGTCACATCGATGTAGGCTGTGCGTAACACACATCAAGGCATGTTTGTCAGTAGATGCAAAACGCTTGCTTCGACTCCGACCATGTCATCGTGCTTGTTCGCCTCGAAACTGCTCACTAGTCAACTGCATCCACAATCCACAGGGCCGGAATTTCAACTTGAACTACAGTCTGGTGGCTGAATTGCTTCCCAACACAACCAGTCTAATACTACACGATACTCTGCTGTCTGTGACCGTACGATTTTTGCAATGTGTGTGCATCACAGCTCTGAATGGTTGCTTTATGGACTCTGGCGTTGCGTTAGGCCCGCAAGCCCTCTTCTTCTGTATCATTAGGAGTTATTACAGTTTGACGGCTACGCACCTTGGAGCCGCTATTAATAATGATGCTATCAGAAGCATTCTCCTCTTTTTACTTGTCACGTACTATTAATAAGACGTTTATTTCTCATTTGTGTGCGAAGCTGTCCATTTTCTGGGACAGATGATGTGTACAGTACTTAGCACACTCGTGCATGCGTGAGATGTGTTTTGGATCGTGTGACATCAAAATATTTTTAAACCACATGACTTTATAGGTTGCTACGTTTTGCTTAAAATCTCTTCTCACGGGTTATGTATTTCTTAATCCATCCTGGGAGAATTCATTTAGTGTGTTACCCGATGGAAACACAGTCATTATCGAGTTCTGGTCCAGGAACTTTCTAAGTTGAATGCGCCATATTCTTGAGTTTGTGAAAGACCTGGTAGTGGCTGGTAGGCTATTCTGCACGACAGCACATCTAACGAAGAATTTGGATCGAATAGATGTCCTGCTTATTGTCACAGTTAATGCACACGTCCTGTTGCGTACATGCCGAGTTAACTTATGTTGCAGTTTTCGTATGCCTAGATTGGATGTGACTTTTGCTTTATGACATTGTCTATCAGCATCAGGTTATATTTAAGTCATCGCAGCCAAAGGGGCTTCAGCTTAAGCTGCTGGTAACGCTCCTGATTATTCATTCTTTATACATTTTAGTTAGATGCGGAAAACACCTCAGCCATATTTCCGGTATACAAAATAAAAAGAAAAGGAACCTGAAACCGTGGCAAGACAGCTGAGTTATCAGTAAAGAAAAAGTATCGTTCCGGAAGGCTACCAAGTAGTGTTCTGCCGCAAAAAATTATGTAATGCAGAACTTATCATATGCTAGGAAATGAAATCGGGGTTGGAGGTGGAACCTAAGCTGGGTATGTACGAAGAAACTCACAACACAAACGCCATTTAAGTCGGCTCCTAGCCATTTCATTAATTGTATCCAGCGATATGTGTTCTCGTATTTCGGACCTCAGCCAGTTAGCCTGAGAGTCTGCAACCGACGTCAGTTTCGAACTAAGAGTCTCAATTCCTTTTAACCAAGTCATCTATTGGTCATCCCTCCTCTTCTTCCATCCACACCCCGCTGCGCAAACAACACACGTCGCGGGATTCGGTGTGTTGGCATTCGCAACACGTTGCCCAACCATCGTAGCCTGGTGCTTAAAATAGCGGTGCTAGGCGGTTCATTTCATCTTTAATGTATCATAAACAACGCGTCAAACATACTCATGGCTTACTCGGAGTAGAAATTATTGAGCATACCTGTAGCTCGGGGTGTGGATGAGAGAATTGTCCTGTTCCCCGAAACGTCTGCAACCGAAATGCCCGGTACGGAGAACTGGACAATTCTCTCTTACTCGGTGTTCCTACTAGATGTGAGCCAAACTGCTATGGCACTGGTACTCTAACCTAACTAGCCTCTTTCTAAGTCGACCGAGCTATTGGGTCAAGTTTCACACCCGTACAGTAAGCTCGAATGTACCGCTGCATTGTACACTTTACACTTTACGTAGAGAGTGATGTCGTTCCGGCGCCATGGGTGGCGAATATTAGCAAAGGCGCCTCGGGATTCTGCTGTAATGTTTGTGCTCCCCTCTTCGATTCCACAGGCGCTGATACAACTTCCTATATAGTCGAAATTTTGAACGACTTCCAGCTGATCCCCAGCAAGCGTCTGCACAGGAGGCGGTTCCTGCCAATCTTGGAGGAAAGCTTTGCATTTCATGGGTGCAAAGCATAGAACCAAACATTTGACAGAAAGTACTAATCTGCCCATTGCTGCTTGTCACCACTGTGAGGTGTCATATATGAAGGCAATGTCGTCAGCGTAGTTCAAGAGAAGAAGTCGTTCGCCTAGGAGTAGCTCCGCACCTCCCCAGTCGTGTCCTGGGAATGAGATTTCCATGATTTCTTCTATGGCGAATTTGATGAGGAAAGGTGAGCTGGGTGTTTCGTATGTGGGAGTTACGTCGGCAAGCTAGGCAGCATCCTCAGTGCGACTTTGGAGGTCTGAATTGCTGGAAGCCGCATCACTGACGAGACCCAGAATGTCAGACCACCGGTGTCTACTGCTTTTCCAGGCTAGCCAAAGTCTGCTGACAGAATAGACCGTGATGAACTATCTTTAATCAAACCACATTATCCAGGATGGGATTTCACCAAACAGCTCTCTAACGTGTTTGGCCTATATTTGCTATGAAACTGCTGCTTTAGAGTATTAAATACATAAATTCGTGTATTTTCCGACAAACGGTATGCGGCAAGTAACGAAACACGGAAACATTATCATTACTTTGTGTGGTTTACGCTCTCGAACTCCAGAACTTTTAATGAATTAATACGATAGACTACGGACAGTTCCCGTAGATACGAAGAATCCATGGAATAATCATTACAAGCACCTTTGTTTTGTCTCGAGCAAGTACTTCCTCTGTCTATCCACTTCATCCAGAGCAGTGTGCCATCTTCATAGATTCCTTGACCCTAGCAGTAATTCAGATGTCAATACACTTTAAGCTTCTGCTTTAGATTTTGATGCGAAAACAGCCGACCTTGCGCATCCCTTTTACTAACGTTCCTGCCCGTTCCCTTTTGATACAGGCAGTTTACTGATGATTCCGTGTTAGACCGCGTCCCATATGCATTTTTGATGCTTGGTGGCATCTTGCTAGGATTACAAATAATCGGCTTCATTCTGCTGCGAGAGAAACCGGCCTCCCAGGTATATGCTTTTATTTCCTTTTGTTAGTAAACGTCAGTGCTTTTTACTACACTTTATGAAGTAGTTTTCCATTATACTCTATTCATTACGAACGTCCTTCGGATCGTACTTCGCACTTTCGCAAATGAACGCTTTTACCGCACAATTAGTTTACTTGATTTATGCACACGTTGGATCAATTTTAAGTCCACAAAGCAGCCTACTTAATCGAGTGGTTCAGCGCTTATGTAGCAGCCATTGTCGATTTCTCCCAAGTCTGTGCTGTCAACCTAGGTATCATTGTGTTTGTTACGTAGGTGTTTTGGTTGCATCTAATCGCAATTTAAGTACGGCGTCACGGTCAATAGTTTTGCTTTTTCGTTTTCCTGAATTTCTCAGACTGAATGTCTCGGATTGAAAGTTCTCCCAACTAGTCTTACACGCCTTTCACGACATCCGTCATTTACACACGCAGAGGAACCTTTGTTACTGCCAGTAACGTTTGACAACACACGTGACCTGGAAGATGTACTCTTAGCAAGCAACATTCTAGTGAACTCTTCTGTCAGGAGCCTCATTTTTCCTGACAAGCCATGGGCAGAAAGACAGAAACGGAAATCCACCCTAGTTCATCAACTCAAAATGGGAGGAAGAAAGTGGCACTGATTCATGGTATGTCAGAATTGAAGCGTGACGATAGCAGTGAACGACAGATATACCTCATTGAAAATGGAGGTACATGGTAAAGCTCTGCGACATGCAGCATTTCGTTGGCTTTTGATGTCACCCGTCTAATTGCCTCCACAAATTACCAAGGCAGCGGGCCACGAATTTTTAAAGTTACCTTGGCTGCACCCGAAATGGTATTAGTGGCAATCCAAGCATGGCATGACAACAGGAAACTTGGGCCACCCGAAGTACGGTTGAGACCATTCCTTTAATTAGTACAGACCTCAGATACAGATGAGCCAGTCTCGGTTGTACCTATCTCAGATCAATCAACTGTGCAAACAACCGTTTCAAAAAACATCAGTAGACCGGCACTATTTATGTCCGTCACTCACAGCGAACCGAGCTCCTGATGCGTCGACAAATATAATGCTGCTGCATCAATAATCAGGATTTGTTCTCTAAGCACTTGGAACTGCGCCCTCGGCATGAAACTACAAGCTGTGACCTCATAGCAGTTACTGATAGTTGGCTTTCAAACGAGATACTTGATCCAGAGATTGAACTCAGTGCGATGTCAGTCATCCGAAATGATCTTCCATCTCGTGGTGGTGGTGCCGCCCTCTCCTATCGAGATTACTTAAAACGTGAGGCCCTTACCGAAAATTTCCTTGTTATTCCCGACGCACTATTTTGCCGAGTGCTTGCAGCTTGCTTTGCATCTTGAGATGTTGGATCACAGAAGCATGCGCTTGATGCCAATTAGCAGTTATCTATGTACCTCCGAACACATCAGCAGACAGCGATAACATTCTGTTAAATGCTCTCCGCTATGCTGTTTCACAAAAGTACTCTCACTATCTTTTAATGGGCGAATTTAATGTTCCCACAATAGCATCAATGTCCCTTAATGAGCCACCATTTAAATCGAAGCTCCTCGAATTCATGAATATGGCAGTTCTATATAATCATGTGCACCGACCAACCAGACCCTGCGGTTCAAACGAGCCATTACTCCTAAACTTCTGACTAATGAAGAGTTGCTGGTTGAGTTAGTAGCATAGGCTCTTCCACTGGGCCGCAGCGACCATTCAGTCCTAACGTTCGGTTTTGTGTATTATCGCTGTATTGTTGATAAAAAATCGACTCAATGAACTATGACGGACTAATTGGAGAGTCAAGTTTGGACTAAACGTTGTGTGGATGGATTGCGACGTGCAATCTCAATGTTGACCTCGATTCTCATTGAACTGAACCTTGGTCTTTCGATCACGAGGATCATAGCTGATGCAAATAGAAATTGGGTGTGGCTCACCCGAAAACACTTCACAGCCACGACGCGTTTTAATATAATTTTATCTCATCAGGTGGAGACAGCAGGCCTCGATCCCGCGACCATTAGAATAGTAGCCAACACCTCTACCCCTTAGGCTACCGGGTCAAGGTGGTCAACACTTGGCACAACGATAAATGACTAATTGGAATGTCAAGTTTGGACTACACGTTGTGTGATTTGATTGCGACGCGCAATCTCAATGTAATGGACCGTGATTCACATTGAAGTGAACCTTAGTCACTGCGATCACTGGGACCGTACTCAAAGCAGATGGAAACTTAAAGTTGCACAACTTAACCGCAACCGTTGACTGGGACCTACAGACGCACAGTTCAGCGAATGACGCGTAGAATGAACTAAAGGTTAAAATAGACTGGATCATGCAATCAGTATCGAAGTTGGTACCATTACGAGCATCGCGCCAGACCAAATCGTGGATGCGAACCAGAACACGTAAATGGATCGACTGAAGAGATGAGATTTGGAGAGAACCTTCGCTAAGCCCATGCGGTACCACATGTCAGAATTACAAAGCAATCAGGAACTACTGCAAGTCGCTCATTAGAATCGACAAGTACGAATGGCAGGAGACCATGGTGGTAAAATTTACGAGTAGCACCAAACTACTGTACAGGTTTGTGAATGACAGAGGAAAGGTTAAGCCCGGAATGCCACCCCTCAATACGGCCAGTAGCCTAACAACTACTGCTGTGGATGCCGCAAACGCCCTATTCCTGCAGTTTGGTTCGGCAGCTACAAATACCATGGAACGTTCTCTCTATCAACTCCCAACAAATGTCGTTGGCTTATCCAGCGTCAACTTTAATCCAGCAGCTGTTGCTACCAAATTGCAGTCTATCCGGGAGTACAGTGCTGCTGGAATCAACATGGTCTGCCAAACACTACGGAAAACCCATTCTCTCACCACAGCAGCACCACTTGAGACCTTTTTCCATGGTCTGCTTAACTCCCATACACTCCCGTCTGAGTGGAAAAATGGAATTATCACTCCAATTTACAAAGGAGATAAGCGATCGGATAGTGCCAACTACCGATCTATTATTCTCCTCTCTGTTTTTCATCAAACGTGATGGAATTGGTATTCGCAGATGAACTGAGGCGATGCTTTGAAGGTCTATAAATAATTTCTAATGCCGAACTTGGTTTCAGAGGCAGGCGATTTTGTCTCATCAATTTGCTGCTTACTCGGGACTCATGGACCAGAGCGGCTAATGAAGGAGTCCCCATAGATGTGACTGTGTTTTTCTAAAGCATTCGACAGCGTCAATCATTTCTCCGAAAGCTTACTGCCTACGGTATAAACGGCACCCTGCTCAGCTGCTTAGAAGACCACTTACACGAGAGAGCAATCAAGGTAAGAGTAGCCGATAATCACTGTGCAAGCCTGTGGGTCTCCAGTGGTTTACAGCAATGGGCCGTCCTCGGCCCGCTACTGTTTTTAGTCTTCATTAAGGATCTTCCAGCGGACATTACATCCCCGATGCAAATACTTGCAGATGATTCTAAAATATGGAGAGCAATTCGCTCAGCATCCGACCGTGTCTACCTCCAGGAAGATCTGACTCTAACAAATGGGCAGAAAGGGACCAGCTCCCACTGAACCCTGCAAATGCCACCTGCTGACGATGCGCAGCAGCTTCGTCAACACGTATCTTTTGGGACAACACGTCCTGCAACAGGTGACTAGGGAACGCGACTTAGGTATACTCGTGCAACAGCGTCTTGCCAATTCGCTCCAATGTTCGAAAGCAGCAGATGTGGCGAACTTGAACTTGAGACTTTTGAGGCGGGCTCTCGGCACCTTTGGGTGACGTCTAGTACCAATGCTGATTAACTCTTGTATTCGTACCTACATTGGATATGCAATTCAGGCCTGGTGCCCATGGTTAAAACGAGACATTCGCCATTTGGAACAACCCCAAAGAAGAGCCACAAAGGGAACGTGTGGACTATCCGGTCTAAGTTACGAACAGTGTATTCGTGCAGTCGGTATGTTCTCATAGGAATACCAAGGACATCGCGGAGATCTTACTCTCAGATAGCGGATACTAACTGAAAACGGGCATCTATGTACATCACCGTTGGCCCTAGCCCCTTACAAACAAATTTGAGGCAACCAGCTGAATTTAATAACATCACACTCCCGTTTGAATTGTAGAAAATATTTTTACTCACTTAGAATCTGTTCTCTCCGGAATGCATTACCAGGATATGTGGTGAAAGCACCAGACATGACAACATTCGAAAGGCTCTTAGACTTTCCTCTTAGTGAAAAACGCTACACAACAGTTTGATAAAGTACAATGGTTTAATCACTGCTACTTCACGTTCCACGTTGTAAATTTATGCTTTTTATCTCAACATACACTATTGAACAATTGCCTCAGGTTGACAAACGCTGATCGGATTTTAGCTATGGGATAAGGAACTCCAGTTCTGTTAGTGCCGTCAGCAGAAACACAGCTCCCAAGGTGGACGAAACTATCTAGCTCTTCGGGTTGTGCACCTACAAGAGTGAGCACGGGATCAGGAGAAGGCCAAACCTGGAGCAGCAGTTTACACTTCTGTGAAGCGAAGCTAATGCCATGCTTAGATGCTTCAACCGTCCTACGATCCCGTATGAGTTGCATATCTTGAGGATCGTCACCAAGTAAGCCAATATCATCAGCATACTTGAAGTCAGTCGCGCACTCATCCGGTAGAAACTCTAGGCCAAAATGTTGGAAAACTTCTAGAGTACTCGACAAGACTTTCTCAATTGCGAAGTTGTAGAGGAATGGGATTTAGAGCAGCCCTGTCGCAGCAAATGGCAGTGAAAGCATGCCATGCACCCTCATTCTGCCGGAGGTATGAAGGTACAATACATGTAAAACGGTGCCATACTTCTCTGGCACCCCATTCTTTAGCAATCAACGCCATTAAGCCGGTCGATCAAAGGCGTCAACTGCAGCACATATGTTTAGGGACGCGACGATAATGGGCCTGGGATAAGTGAGGCGATGTTCGATGAGTTGATGGAGTGTGAAGGTATGATCCACGCATCCGCGGCCGGGACGGGGACCGGCTTGTTCTTCACAGTAGTACGATTCACGCGTGGGGATAGTCTGCAAAGCAGTAAGGATGCCAATGTCTTGTAGCCATTTTGCAGGTACTGCAAGCTGTCACAATAAGCGCTCGCTTTCACAACCTGTAGGCTGGTCAAGTGAAGAATATCACTGCCGACTCTGTCAGCGACGGTGGTAGAGGCAGCAGAAACACCAAAATTAACAGGTTGTCAATAATTTGCACTGGTGCTTTGCTGTGTGATACGGATTCAACTAGTAGGAAATAACGATTAGACGATAAAAGGTGGCCAGCTGTGTTACTTCGATTCTCTTGGTAGGTCTTGGCGATCAAGGCATACATCTTTTCAACAACGCATGAGCAAGGTTATCCGGTAATCTGATAAGATGATATTCAATGCCGAGCTTGCTTCCATAAATATTCACTATGCATAGTCATAGTTACTCTTGCCGAACGGGTAATTCAGTATCGGTCATGAATTAACCAGGTGGTCAGACTAGAAGGCGCTTGCAAACGCATCTATGATGCTGATTGGTAGCGATATCCTTTAAGGCATGGAGCGAAACACCGAATGGATCGAGTATGTCGCTCCCTGGAAAGAAGTACACATTGATATCATAAACCCAGTAGCCAGCGACATTTTTTCCTTCGTTCGGGTCAACCAACGATTAAACCCCATGGGCCAGGGGTCTTAGTGATCACTGAGCGGGTGTATTTAACATATATCCAACCCAACGCAACATGTTCCACCTCCTTTTCGACTTGATGATTCAAAGTGGACACCGTTATCTAGCAGACACGCCCGCGCCTTAACATTATGTGTACTGTGGTGGTACGCTCTATGTTTTGCTATACAGAAACTGTCTCTTTGCCTCAGTGCCATGATTCACGCGTTTATCTTCTGCCCGATCTTTGTGAATAGTCTCATCCGCTGTCCAATCGGTTGCCGATCAAACTATGTGCAGTCGTAGAAAGCTCGCGTCCGTTTTGAGTCTGTGGGTGCTCCGCCTTGCCGCAGTCACAGATCCACTCCCCCAGCACCTTTGACCACGAGTGGGCTTATTATCTTCGTTGGTCTGCAGTTTATCAACGCGCCTATCTCACTTTGAGTAGGTAGTTTCTTGTGTTAACACTCCGCGCTCATCTCTGTGTCAAAGGCAGTGGATACACCGGATACCTAAATATCCACACTCTTTCTGTACTCATTAGAATGATACTAGAATGGTATCTGATTATCAATTAATTATAAACGAAAAAGAAAAGATCTGTTAGTGTCAAATAAGGATTACAATCTTTTTCATTACCTAGCTCTCCATTGAAGATAACAACCTAGCAAGATGTGTGCCACACCCCAAATAAGAGAGATTGCCCTCAATTCATCCCAGATGATTTCTCACCTGTCATTTGTATAGCGTATGCCATTTTTCTGACGGCGGAACACCGCATCTACTTCAAGAGCCATGTAACTGGTACAGAAATATTTTCAACAGATCAACACTTTACCACGAGCTGTTAATCTGGTGAACCTCAGCGCTGAATGTTATGTTACACACCTTACAGATACACTTGCAATTTGTCAAATATAACTGTTAAAACAAATTACAATTGCAACTACTACTGTTTTGCATCGATATGATTTTCTTTGCACTTTTGATACTGTCTTGACATGAGAACATGAGCAACGTTCACATGCTGTCCGCCCAGCTGAACCGGTATTTGTTTGCTTTTTCCGAAATTCAGACCAAAGAAGGGGAAACGAAGGAACAAACACCTGATGCAGGGAAAACACTCATTGAAAATAAGGTATGTAAATTGCTTCCGGATCTCAAGTTTGTTCCATTATTATTTTATAAATTTATTGAAACCGTACCCGCACTTTGGTGTCGCTGTTGGTGTGACATTAAGTGCTGGAAAACACATTAGCCCGGAGCTGGCTATGGTTGCATCTTCGGTTGAATGTCGCAAATGTTTGATTTATTCATAATGCATTCCGATCCCAGCCCTGTTGTCCAATGAAAGCGATTTATCTCCCTGCCGATCGATTTTCATCTACGTGTCCAAAACGCCTGCGTAAGCTCAAAGAGAAGGCTTTCCTACAGAAGCACCAGGTTGCAGTGAAGTCTCTTTCTATTCTTATCAAGTTTGAGTTGCGCCGTCTAAACTATCTATATGTCCAGACAATTCCCGGAAACAATAGCTGCCGAGAGATCTGATGGATGCTAAAACCACTTAAAGGTGTCTTTCACCGAGTTTCAAATCCGGCTTTCTAAAACGCAGTACCCCTAAGCGTGAAACGCACGCTTCCGAGACACGTAATCCCAGCAAGCAGATGTCTGAACAGCAGAAGGTTTATCAATCAATTCAAGAAGTTACAAGACTCACAGAAACTCGTGTTACGTGTGTCAGATGATTGGCTGGCTGGTTTGAGGGTGAACCAATCCGCGCACGGTCGAAGGAAACGGATCGAAGTCATTCGCGTAGGTGACATCCCCTCATCTCTTGAAATGTTTATACTCCTGACACAAAACGGTCGACAGGTTTATAAGTACCCTGGGATCTACGAAGTGATGGTGCATCTGACGATTGTACAGAATCCTTGGGGGGTTGCTTCTGTTTCCGGCTAAACCGCAATTTGACTCACCCACATGTTCATCTGCTGTTGTCCCAACACACCGTAGGTGTAAGTGATCTGAGCGTCGCCTCACTATCCGACCATTTGATTCGAGAGCTGCTTGGGTACAGTCACCTTTAATTACAGCTACGGGCTGCCAGTAGCGCTCATGGGGAAGTCGTATGTAAACGGGATCACCCGGATGCCAACTAGAGTCGTGGTCTCCTTGGCATGCGGCATCCCTGTATTTTTTCTCTCCATTTGTGCTCTATTCGGCAAAATATCATATCCGCAGATGATTTACCGGTGGCTTCCGTTGGTGTAAGCAAACAGCAAACGATCTAATTGCGTCGGAATAGTTCCTGGCTCTTGTTTTAAGAGAGCACTTTTAATTGCCTGCACCGCCCTTTCCGCTAGCCCTTTAGAAACAGGATGATATAGAGCTGTACGGACGTGCTAGACATCATTTCCTTTCATGCAGATTTCCTATTCTTTGCCAGTGAAACATCGCCAGTTGTCTGTGCAGAGTGTCTTTGTTATCCCAAATATAGCAAATGATGATCGGTTTTTGAGATAGTTGTCTCCATATTAGGGTGGGAAACGGGATAAACATCTATCCATTGCGAATGAGCGTCAATTAGCAGCAGGAAAAATACACCATTAATGGGTCCAAAGTAGTCCGCAAGGATGCGTTGCCATGGCTTTTCAGCCCAACCCCGACGGTGCACCGGACCGGGAAGTTTATTTGACTGATACCGCTGACACCGCTGACACCACATGCTTTTAGATAGTTCTCTATTTCTGAATCTATGCCAGGCCACCAGCAATAATCGCGCGCCAAGGTTTTCTTTCCGGTTCCGCCTGGATGTGCGTTGTGGCGTTCGTTGAGGATGAACCGCCTTGTCTTTAGCAATGGAATTAGGTGGGATCCCCAAAACAAGCATCCATCGTGCAGGCTCCATTCATTTTTCCGCTGTCCGTAAGTCTTAAGAACGACGGAAACTGTAGTAAGCCAGCTGGTTTTGCTAAATCGTACTATAGAAGATAGCGTTGGGTCATGATCGATCCACTGACTTATGGTGTCACCTGCCAATGGAGTGGTGTCGAGGTGCTGCATTATATGTATTAGCTCCACCGGTTTCTCCATTATTTCGTCCGGGGTCGCATGTAGTAACCTGCTCAATGCATCCCATGTCTGATTGTTCAGCCCAGGAATATAGGAGACTGGATACGTATATGCACTTTGTATTAATGCCTAGCATTGCATTCTCGGTGAAAACATCTGCTCGATTCCTTTTGAAGGGTTCGGCAAGGATATCAGTGGTTTGCGGTCAATTTATATCTCGAAATTGTTGCCTCAAATGTACTGATAAAACTTCTTGACGCCAAATATAACTGACAGATCTTATCTATCCAAATGGAAATAATAATTTTCGGTGGATTGTAAAGTTCGTGACGCAAACGCAACCGGGTGAATGATACCTTTCGGCATTTTGTGACATAGAACTGCTCCAACTCCGTATGAAGAGGTGTCACACTGTAAGATTAACGGTTTTTCACAACCGTAATAGCCCAAAACAGGTGCGGAAGCAAAACACTTATTTGCACAAGTAAAAGCTGATTGATGCTCGCTCTTCCATATCCACAGGGTGTTTTTGTGTAGCCGTTCCTTCAATGGGGCAAGAGTGGTTGAGGCATCCGGTAGAAAACAACGATAGTGCGACAACATTCCTACGAATGATCGTAGTTTATCACTATTCTTGGACGAAGTTGCCTGCACAATATGCGCTATTTTACCTTGCAGCACATCCAAATCGGTTTTGTCCAGTTTGTAACTGAATTAACAAACAGAATCGTATAAAGACTTACATTTGAACTTCTTTTAATTTCAACCCGCACTCTTCCAGACACTGTAGAATAGTTCGCATCGTGTTTAGATGATCAGCGTCACCGCGGCCAGTAAGAAAGACATCGTCCAAGTATGCACAGGTGAACGGTATATCTTTAACTATCTTATCCACGATCCGTTGGAAATTGCTGGGTGCTGACTTTATTCCGAACGGGAAGCTCTTATACTGGAATAATCCAAGGTGGGTAGTTATTGTGGTCCGTTCCTGTGACTCAGCATTAAGTTCGATTTGAGAGTGTGTGACTAGGATCCAGTTTGGAAAGCTTTTCCCCGCTGGCTAAAGTGGTAGGGGATATTTTTCCACTTTCGATGCTTGGTTAACCCTCATTGTGTTGTCTCCACAAATACGGACGGAGCCGGGAGGTACGAGTACAGGTACAATCGGAGTGCTCCAATCTGGAATTTGCACTGGAACTATGACACCTTCTGATTGCAGACGTTGAATCCCTGCCTTAGCTTTAATGCACATTGCATAAGGTAATGTTCTGACTTGGTAAAATTTTAGCTCGGCGCTCTCTCGGAGTTTGATAGAAGCCTTGAAAAGACCCATCTTCCTAATTTGTTTTCAAACAACGATTCAAAATAGTTCAATAACTCATTCAAACCCATTCAAACGTCTTCAACAATGAGTTGGTCGACTTGCATGGTTTCGTGAAGGAACTGTATCCCGTCTCGACCTATGAGATTTGCTTTGTTCCCAATTACAATGATTAATGGTAGAGTGAATTCTCAACCCCCGTGCCTGGCTTTAACGAAACATCTGCCCAACCCCTGACTTGGATTACCGGTGTACGTCTGTAATCACTTTTTGCTGTTTGCAAAGTGGGTTGCTTCTCAATGGAACCACGGTTTACAATGGTGACCGCCGCACCAGTATCTAGCTCTATGTCTATCGGTTCAACCTCTGTCATTAAACCTATTGCATAAGGAAGACAGTTTCTGAGTGTCACACTGTTCAAGTACACCGAGTTAACTTCACTGTTCAGATTTTCTAAGACCTTTTCTTCACGTAGCTCTATCTTGCTTTGACGACTCGATGAGGTGATGCTCGTGGGGCGGGAAGTTTCCGTTCTACACAAGCGAGCTAGATGGCTTATCTTGCTGCATTTCCGCCAGATACTTTCTTTGTGCCGGCAATCGGGAGCCTGAGAGTGCCGCAAACCGCAACAATAACACACGAATAGTTTTCGCTGTTCACTGGTGTCTGGTTTGCGGACCGCGTGCACAAAATCAACTAGCGGACGACCAATGAACTCACGTGAGTGATGGGTAATATTCTCGCGCCGGCAAACGAGCCAAACGTTTTTCCATGTGGCGGCCGACTCATCCAAGTGTAAAAACTTCTCTCTGACACTTTCGTCCGATATTCCCGCAATTAAACATTGAATTTTCATTTGCTGTTCGATTTTCCAAGGTGGAATAGCATTATACATATACTCAGAAATAGATTGATAAATATGTGCCAATATATCGTCGACACTTTCGTTCGGCTTATGATAAGTTTTGAAAAGCAGTATCTAGCGGTGTAAACATTTTCCTTCAGCCCCCATAACGTGGTATAAATATCCAAAGCAGAACTGAGGGTGGCATAGTTTTCCGGCTGCAGGGTATCCTAGTGCCCTTGCGCTTTATCGCCAAGCACCTGCCTGAATGGTGTGATTTTATGAGCCTCAAATAGGCAACCGGTCGGATTCAGTTCACAAAGTAATTCCACATAGTTGGTAAATGATTACCTCCATCTTATCCCGTTCGATAAGGTCGGTTTTTCCTCGGCAGATGACCGAAATATAGGCGTATTCAACCTTAGGTTCGACGTTTTCGTCGCCACTAAAACGTAGTACCGCTAAGTATGTAACGTACGCTTACGAGACACGTAATCCCAGCAAGCAGAAGACGTCTGAACAGCAGGAGATTTAGCAATCCATGGTGGAAGATACAGGACTCACAGAAACTCGTGTTTGAAGACCGGTTGCGTGTGTCAGATGATTGGTTGGCTGGCTTGAGTGGTAACCAATAGGCGCCCAACTGAAGTAAACCGATCGAAATCATTCGCATACGTGAAAATTTTCTTTTACGCTGCTCGTTTGCAATCCTCCTCTGCTCCCCTACCTAATACTGCGATTTATCACTGCGTGTGTCTTACCTCATTAGACTTATTGCTCCTGTGGGACATTCTCCGGTTTTCTAGAGAAGCAATTCAAAATCCTAGATAGGTCATTGACACAACTGTCTCGACGTAGTGGTATTCTAAAGCCGACCTTCGTTGACATTATTGTGTCTACTCATTCCGGTACAGGCAAAAGACTTGCTTCAAAAACACTCGCTGATATAAATCATCCCCTTTAATGGTGCACTGTCTGACTGTATCTCTCAACTTCCTCAACTAGACAAAAGGACAGATCCATTTAGACCCGTACATGGGCTTACCACTCGGCCGTAATCCCATACTTGGCACGCGTTTTGTGCAATCAGACCTAAGTCGTTTTGGAGCTTACAAGCACATTTACATTGTAAGACTATTGCTGTCTTTGTTGCTTATTAAATATTTTGTGTATTATTTTTACGATGCTAAAGGCCTGTGTGTGTAACACCTGAACATCTACCCGCGGGTGCATGAAACTCTTTTTTGAATTGTATTGAATTCGAAACACACATTGGCGGTAGATACTACACTTGGCTGAATATTACTGTATTTTCTCATCAGACCGTTCTTTGCCCTCACTCAATATTGTCTCAAAATCGGGTTACAAGTCAAGCGTTTTGCAACTGCCCTTTTGGATAGTCTCATGGGGTTTTCATAAACCGAACTATGGAAAGTGGCTTGCAATTTCTAGATTAACAATTCAGTCTGATCTCCACCTTGTTCTATAATGCGAATCAATGACGCTTAGTAAAGCTATGGTCCTTTCACGTAAATAGGACGGAGGAGAATATGAAGTTGCGCAATGTTGTTGGTTAATAATGTCATTCAGCCATACTCCAAATGTGACTGGTAGCGTCGCCGAAACGACTGATTCGGAGAATGCGTTCGGATATGTTGTACAAATATAATCGGAACTTAAAGCAGTTAGCTGTCCATTTATTTGGAAATCGCGGTAAGAAGAAGGAAGCTGGTGAATGTGTGTTACCAAAGAAGTTAAAAAGCTGCAGCCATTAGCCGAACAGGAAATTTACCGGTGCGTCCAACGAAAATGCTCAACCAACCAGGATCATGTGGCTGCGAAGACTGTTGGTACTCCTGCTTCCCGAGGAAAAGCCTAAATGTCATAATGAGTTCAGCGGGAAAGTGAGTAGAATCCATGCTGCTGGCCCTCAGCCTCAGCTGGTGGATACCAGCGGCTTCTTCCATATGGAAACTTCTACCGCTCACTTGTCACTGGATAGAGCTCCGCTCAGTGTTCACCTTTGTATTGCGTTCCGGTAATCCATATTTTATTCGTTTTACTGAAGCTGTCTGATGAAATGGTTCCCGTGCATTCAAGAACTGTTACCTGTCAGCCTTAGAACACCATCCGTATTGAGGCTACAATCCCGTCATTCCAGTGGCACCTCAATTTTCGTTTGTCCCATCCACATTCAAGCATATATTTGTACAGCAGTTATTGTTAATTGTTCGGGACTGACTATATAAAGTGACAGGCGTTTCAAGCAAGAAATTTCTGTGGCTTTCTAAGCATTCCTTTACTTTGATGGGCTTTAGCTAACAAGAGGTCAAATGCTTTGTATGCGGGACCAGAGAAGTGATCTCAATATTGGTTTTACCGTGAGCATGATGCTGCAGTACAACTAAAATTCTGCTCTTGTGAGATTCGACACATTTCAACGAGGTACCCAGTAACCCGATGTTAATGGTTGCTCCAGGGCAGTGAGATGAAATTTTACTACTGTTGCCAGCTCTGGATTAGCTAATTGATGTCCTTGGAGGGATTTAAGTCATTCCTGAGTTAAGATCCCCGTGCGTCATGTGCGCTGAGCTTGTAGCAATACGCCCTCTGGTACCGTATGGGGCGCAGCTTTTATTTCTGCACCTTTTAACAGCCATAGATCCAAGGTTATTCACTGAGTAGTTTCTGAGCAGCATTCCTATTAATACCGAGATATTTTGCTTTTGAGATAGAGGCACTGAACCGCTGAATTCGCTATCTCATCAACAAATCCTAACAATAACTGCAGCTCTGGTACTGAATTCTGCAGCACACCACATTAAACTTGAATGACGTAAGACAGAATACTTCCAATTCTGATCACCGGTTACCGTTGAAGTGAGGATTCGGCTGTCTAGATCAAAATGTGACCACCGATGTGTGAAAGTAGAACTTATATGGATAATCATATGGGCTTAGCAGTTTAATGCTTTCGAGAATTTCAGGTAGCTCAAATCAGTGCTCTCGAGCATCATTCTAATTGCACAACACCCTTAACATATTCGTGGCTCATGTTAACTCGGCGGAAGCCGCGTTGCTCTGGAGCAGTAGTGTTGCAGTTCCCCAGGTCGGTCATCAGTGAATCGGCAACCAGGGGTTCGGAAGAAACTTTATTTGATACACCAAGGATTCAGTTGGAATAATTGTTCCCGGCTTCCGCAGAATTCGAACCTGGTGCTGGTCTAAACGTCCCTTGAAAAACAGTTAAACTTTCCACCGAATCTACTGCTGCTACTTACAGCGATTTTGCATAGATGCCATCCACACTTTGATAGTTGTAGGTAACCATCCATGTCACACTATGCAACAGGGCCTCAGCAGTAGCTGAGCAACAAAAGCAACTAGGTCACATGAAACACAACCCGTTGACAGGTGGCCACACATTGTATCTGCATAGTCTTGGCTGTTCCGTGGAGTTTTTGCTGAACCTCCTGCCTCTAAAATAAGACTAGTATATAATGGTTGTTTTCATGCAGTCATAACATTTCATCTTAGTTTGGAACTTGCGGAATCCAAAGATGCCTACAGAGAATACGGTAGTATGTTGCAAAGAGTTGTCTTTTAGATAAACTTGGCTTTCCATCGTCAGCGTTTCTTGTAATCTATTCGCTTATGATACTACCAATAATCACTAGGACTTAGTTGTTGTTGTACAAGTTTGAAGTCTTTGATGTATTAAAATGTCGACCTACTTCAGCGTATCCCAGTAATTCATTTATTTAATTTTGCTACTATGCTGTCATTTTACCAACATTATTTTTAATCCATTTCTTTTTTGACTGCTTCAATGTAACGGTCTTGGGACATCCAGAATAATCAGAACCAGAGCACAAATGACTCCATGTGAGTTTAACGCCAGTTTTATTGCAATGTCTTCAGATTATCAATGAAGAAGTATGCTCGTTCGTAATCATCTTTGCCATAGCGACACACCTTTATCTCCAAGGACGACCTAATAGACAGTAGTGTTAACTGCCACTAAATGTTTGAGAACGCAGCATATGCATCACTCCAGGTGTTCTGCTGCACCTGATCTTCCTGTCCTGTATAGGTCACAGTTTTTGCCCGCTCACCGATGCATTATGCTCGGATAGCTTGGGTTGTATATGCAAAAATTTGTTGTCAGATCGGAGGTCTATCAAGTATGAAGAGGTGATCATACCATCGCTTGTGCTTCATGGCTGGTGTCGTGCCACGTATGAGCCTGAGTGTTTCCTTTCAAGTAGCACCGAGCAGACATGAAAATAAGTCGCCTGAACTCCACCTGACTTAGGGCAATGGCACTTGAATACCAGCTGGTAATGTTGGACAATCCATTTGTATATTCATTACACAGCGGCCACTTTCATAGAGCTTCTGGCAGGAAGAAGTTGTACCATCCCTTAAGACTAACGCGATTTGGACAGCTAAGAATGGGCGGGAACTGATTTGCTGCTCGCATTGTAGCCTGTCCAGATTTCAGTACCGATGATGTAGCAGTTGAACAACAAACGAATCAGGCGATTCACACATAGCTACCCACAGTGTATCCTCATTCTTACGTTTGTTCTGTGAGAGCACACAGCCTCTCTGTATTCATGCCCTTGATTCATACGTCAAAATCGGTCTCAATACGTCGCTGTGCTCCACCGGTGGGCGCACTCACACTTTTGTGTGGCAGTAACCACAACTGTTTTCATCAGTGAGCTTTTGCGCGTGCGACTCGTATGACGCTGCTATTGTAGGACAATGTGCTACACGTCCTCCCTGTTTCATTTGCATTTGCTTGTTACAACTACGTTTTGTCATCCACTTCCGAGGTTTGGGAATACACACTTTGAATTATTATTTGCAGGATGAATTCGCTCCCAAGCAAGAGTGATGTTGGACCGACATCACAAGTGGGGTAATTAGTAAAGCGTCTCGTGTCTTCGCTATGTGGTTCCTGGCTTTCTTTTCCACGTCACATACGCTACTCCGTCTGCCCAAGCAGTTGAATTTATAAGTCTTAATTAAGGGTCATCGCAAGCGGCAGTCACTGGCAATCCTGGACGGAAGTATTGCATTTCGATTGCGGGTTTTAAAGCCCAAGATAGATGATAGTCTGTGCGCAACTTTTAACTTCTGCTTAACATGTTTTGGAGCTGTGGCGGATCAGAGCAATATCGTAAGCATTCCGCAAATCACGAAGCCGACTACCTGAAGGCAAATTCATACTACCTGATTCGTCTCAAGTGTAATCACATCCTTTTGTTTCCCTCATTAATAAAGTTAGACCGCAGAGATTACAGTGGACATCTCTGTCCCACACAGCTTGAGACATTAAAGAGCTTCGACTGCCTACATATGCCCTCATTCTGCGTAAAGCGACCGTATTATATCTACTCCATTCTCGGGCTCACCTTTCCCTTTCGAACAGTCGTGAAGTGCACATAGATGCACTAACTCAATGACACTTTTGATGTAAAGGAACACGACAAGAGCGAGTTGACAGGATAGAGGAATTGCTCCAATAGCTGGCGCAAAGTGAAGACGTGGTCTCGACTTCGACGGAATCAGGCCTGCTCTTCACGACTCTGGTTTCTTTTCGCACTCAACGGAAAAGCACACTTACCGCTTATGTCGTGAAGAGCGGTTCAGTTAACCACTTGGGTAGTTCAATTTTAGAATCGTTAGCAGTTCATGTTACAAGCAGGGAACAATCAAAGTGATTAGTTGGTGGACACTTGCATTTGCCGACTATTTACCATCGTTTATGAATTATAAAGATTTGAGGTTGTTTTGCTCCAAATCACCCTTATCTATTTTCTCCCTCATTTTCTCAAGAGAGGAGAACTATTCACCCAAACAAATGCTTCGTCATTTGGATTTTTATCTTCTCTGGTTTGTGATGTTCTGCAACATCATCCCAATCACCATTATCACATCCGCTTACAAGGTAAGTGCTCTGCTTCACGAGGGAATTATACAGACCCTACAAATAGTTGGCGTTAGTTTATCGATTTTTATTCCTCACTATTTCAGTACTATGGCCAGGCCTACATCTCGGACGATCGGTTTCTATCAGCTATTGCCACCATCTCTTCAATATTCAACGCTGGTGGTCGCATAGTTTGGGGCTTCTTTGTCGACAAATATTCATTCAAGGTATTACTACATCAACATTTCCCCTCTAGTACTTGCTACTGAATTTTGAACATGTTTCTTGTACTTACGAGATTGTCTAAGTAAATTTTAACACACAGTAATGATGGTCACATTCACACATGGAAGTATAATTAGGACCTTTTCTGCCCTAGTCTTTCCGCATCTAAACCACTTTGACACAATGGTCTGCATAACGCCTACCTGGTAACTGCGGAACTTCTCTCCTTTCATTTCAGCTCCCATTATGTATCTTGCTTTTATCGTGGTCGGTTATCTTACTAACGTTCCCACACCTGCATTTGGCCGGAGAAACTGGACTGAAAGTTCTTTATTCAATCTGGGTTTGTCTTCTGTTCTTCTTGCTAAGTGGCGTATTTGCTCTTGTGCCGGCTGCTACCGGTCGAATATTTGGCCCTGTCCACCTGGCAATCAATTACGGGCTGGTTTACACCGGATTTGTAAGTTTTATTTCCGAATGTTGCAATCAATTTTATGCATGTCATCAAAACCTTCACCAACATCTATTTATTTCTAGGCAGTTGGCAGCGTATTGTGTGCCCTGGTCACGACATTCGCTGGTTCACAAAATGTCTATGTCTTTCAATTCACTGGATGTGGTTTTGTGTGTCTGTTGGGTGAGTTTCTTTTTCATCCCTTCCCCCAGACATTGGAACTCGCACCTTACTCGTTCGCGGTTTGTCTTATAATCTATTTGCACCGCGTTTATGATTGACAGGAGGCGCTACTTGCCAATCGTTACTGCAGACGATCGCGTTGGCCTTTACGTTACAATTCCCCAGAAGTAATAGGTCAACTGGGTTTCGTAGTGCTCTACCATGAAGGCAGGATTTGTCCATGGACCGACTCGGAGGACACCGCTGTTAAACAGTGAAAAAATTGGTTAACCTGCTGCAGCACTGGTGGGCCCACACCCCTCCATCCCAGACCAACACCTTCTGAGGCTACAGTCTTCCATGGGCTGACTAGTTAAAGGCGAACATACACCACTAATGAACGCTTTGCACCGACCTAATGGAACTCAATTTATTTTGTCATACAAAGAAGGCTACGTTCATCACAGTTCTATTTTATGCTCTGGCCTTAACTGCTAGTGCAGGCTAACTAGTCTATGGAGAGAGCATGGAAAGCGAGATGTTGGCACAACGCAGGGGTCGTGACAACTGCCCAACTGCATTACCAGTCCAGTATGTAACATCACTTGTAAGATCCCCTACCTTTTAACCATTTTACTTGTCATCAATATTTCAGTCATAGCAAGTCGTCACTTATTCCATGAGGAAAAACCAAATATCGGGTCGCAAGCTTTCAACAGACTACCTATCAATCCCTTATTTAATAACATTTCCTTAACGGTACTTTTCTGCTTGGGTGTTGGTGGCGCAGATATGGAATTAAAACGCGTCATGACGTACACGGTTCCAGCTGAACCTAGATACTTTACTACCGAAGGCGTATCTCATATATCCGCTATCCCCAACGCATAATGGACGTTGTTAAGAATTGCACTGTTTGTCTTTCTTCATGGTCGATAATGAATTTTGTCCTACTTGTGAAACACTCCGTGTGATAAATTTAGCACGGGTACTTCCTCTCGGTTGTCCTTGTATTATTTGTGATAAATACAGTCAGTTAAGACACGTTTCTAATAGTTAAATGATAACCCCGTTTACTTAACTGCTCTGACTCGCGCGTTAGTTAATTGTAAAGCTTACTGGATTTTAACCTTTGTCATTTTAGCCTTGTTTACGGTTTTGTGGATCGACGACAAAACAATGCCACCTCGATGGAACATCTGCGGTTGGTGCTCCACACGCTGTGTCCGTTGGCGTGGACGTCCAAAGCAAGTGGGAACATCCATGGAAATGGCGACGTAACGCTTTTCACAGACTAATAACCTAAAGCTGCCACCTGTGCCAACGGAGCTATTGCACCCCATATACACTATTGAGTCCAGATATTTTCCCTCGCCTTCCCTATCCCCTGACTAATTCGTGTTAGTGCTATGGTCAGATGTGATATCCCACGGGCAACCGACAGTGCTCAGTCTCGTACCCCTTCAGCCCAGTTATGTATTTCACATATCGCTCACCAAATCTACCTTGTTTTCCTAGCAATTATTGTAACAGATCGTGTCAGAACTTTAATACACTCACTTTTCATCCGTCATGTTTGTATGGCAACACACATCAGATCGCTGCAGATGCTGTGCTCCAACTGGCTTAAGTGTCGAGGAGACTGGACCCTAACTTTATACGACGATTTGCGCATAGGCTGTGCCATCGGAATCATTGAGAGATACTCTCATCCAATTTTTCTTTGGTTAAATGTCAGAGCAATTCAGCCTCTTGACGCATAGGTTGGGAATGGAAACGGGATGTCTCTCATGTATCTATAGCTAGACATGCGGCCGTGTTTCAGTCAGGGTATTTAGACCAGACGCTTCGGTTGCGAACCTCCCCCGCTGTCCTGTCTGAAATTGGGCGCCATGGCAGTCTTTTAATGCATGCACAATCATGAATAAGTGGCTTCTACCTCCCGTAGCCACATCCCGCTCATGTGTTGTCTGGTGACATCGGCATGTCCACAACAGTGATGGATGTTAACAACTACTGGTTAGTGACAATCGGATTATTGCTTCAGAGTCGCAAGTAACAATGAATAATTTATATTTGCTTGGGCATCTGCTAATTATGCCCAGTCACGGCCCGTTAAGGTGGGCTCTGTTTTACCCAGATGTAGGACTGTGCAACGCATGAGGTGGACAAAATAGACATCGAAGGCGGCGTTGGAGCTCTCGAAGAGCAATATTGGTGCAGTATCCCTCCGTGAAAGGAGGACCTGACGTAAGCTCCTTAGCTGCTGTGCATATAAATATTCCCGAATCTGTCGCCAGCAATTGACAACTTTATTTTTCTGCTGACATAGACGAATGGAATTCATACTGCGCTTGCTGAACTTTAAAGGCACGTCCACAAATCCGGTTTGAGTTATCGAGCACCCGGACTCGGCACACTGTGGCTCAGGGCTTATGTTCGACCTCATGTCACACACACGATTCAAACTTGACGGACATGGCTAAAGCATGACCTCACGGCTCTGGAGCAGTCTCGACGTCGGGTGTTGAAGTACATTATTAGAATGTGTAACTTCCCATGCGAACAGAGGGTGTGACGTTTGGGCGTATTCAGTGAATAGTATCATTGTTTACTAAGCGACATCATACTGGCGTGCCTGAGCATGCTGCATGAAAGTCATGTGTGCCTCCCTTTTCTGCAACTCAGCAATACCACCAAACTGAGATGTCACTCTTTAAAACTGGTAAAACTACAGTTGTCTGAAATCTTGTAAAAATTTCCCATCTACATGTGACGCAGGCGGGACATCACTCTCGCTCTAAAGAGTAGAGGCTACACTACAGCCGTCTACCCAGGTCTACAGGGCGACTAGACTGATAGATATGAGGAGCTCGCTACGTTCGGCTAGCAATGTCTTCGCATCTTAACTCACATCTGGTGGGAACATTGCGTAAACGATGAGTGTGTTCGACGTATTGTTTATGACGCAGGAAAAGTTGTGAACCTCTCAGTACCGTTAGTTCCCGCACTAGGTTTCGATGACTGGGTCAGGTGTTACGCAAAATAAGACACCGACGGCCGCGCCGTATGTTGCTTGCGCGACGTAGGTCTAGATGGAAGACAACAAAAAGCCACCCGAACACCTGTTCAATAGGAATGTAAGTCCGTAGTTCTGAATTGACCCCGGTTGTTGTCTCCCAGCTACCTTTTGTTTTTCCAAAAGATGGTTTACCGTTTTGATTGAATAAGCTTATTGACGTGGTCCAGAACCTCATTGAAGTATGTATTATGGATTACTTTTCCCGCGCCTCATTCTGTTTACCTTTCCCATCCAACCAGAATATCAATGTTGATGCTTAAAATTAAGCAACGTATAGTGAGATTTTTCTTTGGGGTTACTTCCCACGCTTTGCTTGTTTTTACTTTATACTGCCACCTGTTTTCACGGTATTGTGGCACAACATCTAGGTATTCGCTGATACTTTCCATTGCAAGTCATAAGCTATGCCTTCGAAACGAATCACGACTTCTTCCTGGTCAAATGGCAAGTGGTTAATATTTTTGAAAACTTGCAATTTCTTGAAATGATGTTGGTATATAACGATATCACAAACTTATTCATTTACATGCACTAACGATTTGCAAAGAAAAACAGCACAATAAGCCTGGAGAACAATAGACAAACAATTTGGCGACTGCCAAATGAAAGCATATGTAAACAACTAAACCTTTTTCACGTTCGGTGGAATGTTTAACGAATAGGGTATTAGTAATAGCAGTAGCACTACTAGTAACAAGAGTAATAGTAGTGTGTTAGATGTGTACCGTAAATGCGATGCGCTGCCGTGCGACCACCAACGGTCACACGCGGGCTGGGTATAACGCAAGGACGCTTACCTCTACGCCGATACGAATCCGCACCGCAAGATTACGGGACAAGCTCGTTGCCTCTAAGCAACGGGCTGAACAAGTCAAAGTTGCTCCAACGGGATGCCCGCTATCAGTCGTGCGAATGAGCATGCAGACGGTACACCGATTGCGCTACGCAAAGGATGCCAGCGTTGGCGAAGCTGCTGGCCTTCCTTCGACTTATTGCGATGTGAGAAGCCAGGATGAGGGACGGGTTGCTATGCACACTTTAACATATCTTATTTACTATTCTTATGCTGACTGTACAAATCCCCTTTTATAACAAGAGAGTGTAGAGGGACAATCGCATTCCTGACTCATCTTATAAACCATTGCTAACAAAAGCAGACATAAAATCCGCTTATCACTTCTCGATCAGCTTCAGCTAGTAACCTTGGGACTTTGCGGAGGTCTTTTGAAGACAACGAGGACACGCGCGTGGTTTTGGTCTTCATGAGTTCAACAGTTTATTCTGATGTGGGCACGCAACTGTTGATGCGCCGGTTACGTAATAAAAACTTATGAGCGTTCGTTCCGATGACCAACTTAGTCACACTTAGTTTTGGGGTCTGTGTCGCGGTGAACTGGTCGCCAGAGCTGGATAACGAGTCTCACAACGGAACACAAGTAAACATCGGGCATTCGTAGAAGGATGACATCGTCTACTCGCTCTGTCTTCTAACTCAAATGTACCTATCGATTTGCAATTTTTCGGTTGCCTGAAATCTGCCTGTATTTCTAGACTGCTTAAGTGTGTTTGGAAGGAGTCCGCTGCAATTTTTGGTCTTTTTGACATTCGCCGCATTTTGTTCGTAACTTATTTGCCACCATGCGTTTAGCCGCTGTTAACCAAGACAAGTGTCTTTGTGACCAGCCAATGGAAATGCCGACGTCGTGGTACGGTCACAAATGTGCCTGTGTACAGATGGAGAACTTCATTCTTACGACGCCAACAGCAACAAGAGGTTGGAGACCATTGTTCATCATCATCATCATCAGTACACGTTAGCTGAAGGTGAAAAACACCTCAGCTATTGTGCCGCAATACAAAAGACAAGAAATGGAAAACAGTGGCACGCCCGCTGAGTCCCCAGTAACGGATGGACATCGTTCCGGAGAGCTAACAGGTGGCTGCCGTAAAAGAGTCATCTTATGCCTAACAAGTGAGATCGTGCCTGGAGGGGGATGCTAAACAGGAGGGGGATGGACAAAGGAACTCACAACACAAACGCCATTGGGGTCGGCTCCAAGTCAAATCAACAAGTGTGTCCAACCAAACGTGTTCACCGTCCTTAGGACCACAGCCAGGCAGTCGGGATGCACTAACCGACGCCAACTTCAAAGTGAGGGTTTTCATTTCTCTCGACCAAGTCAGCACTTGGCATCCCCTCCTCCTCTTCCAACCGCACCCACAACGCCCAAACAATGCACGTCGCGGGAGTCTGTGTGCTTGCTTGCGCAACACGTGGCCCAGCCATCGGAGCCTGTTGCGTGATATAATGGTGCTGAGCGGTTCACTCGCTCTTTCTGCAGCAAATACGCGACGTCGAACACGCTCATTGCTCACTCGGTGTTCCTACCAGACATGAGCTAAGCTGCGAAGGCAGCGATGATCGAATGTGACGAGCCTCTTCATGTCTGTCGACCTGATGGGCCAGGTTTCACAGCCATAAAGGAGCGTTGAACGGACGGTTGCGTTGTAAGCTCTGCCCTTGAGGGTGAGAGTAATGTCGCGTCTGCGCCACAGGTGGCGGACATTGGCAAAAGCACCTCGAGCTTTTGCTATACGGTTCGTAACCTCAGGTTCAATTCCACGGGTGCTAATATAGCTGCCCAGGTACTTGAATTCCTGCACGACTTCTAGCAGATCACCACCAAGCGTTAGCGCAGCGTTTTGTCCCTGCCAATCTTGGAGAAGTACTTTGCATTTCGATGGAGCAAAGCATAGTCAAAAACGATTGACAGCCAGTGCAAATCGGTGCAGTGCTGTTTGGAATATTTGAGAGCTGTCACAGATTAGGGCAATATCGTCCGCATACTCCAAATCAAGAAGTCGCTCACCAGGAAGTAGCTCCACACCTTCTTGGGCATGTCCAGCGAACGGAGACAATTGTTACTAAACTCCAGAAGATGTCGATGTGCCTACAGCGACACACGTCGCGCACTTTCTACAATAATTAATACCATTGACTTCTCTGTGACGTTTAAAGCAATTAGTTCCTTTCAGCAATTTGAAAGGCGCGGAAGAAATATCAACACTTGTAGATGTAAGCATCTCGTACTACCTCTTCATTACCAATAACAATAAATTATATGCCTAAATATAGCTATTATTGGGTGTGACCAGACACGTTAGAGGTGCATAGTGAATGACGGAAGTTCCCACCTATGTCCACGACAGTCATAAGGTGACGCCAGCCGGGGAGAATGCCACTTCAACCTAGAACCGGTAGACGGATTCAACATACAGCAGAATCTCCGAAGTCAACCAGCTGATTAAGCTAAATTTATTCATCACTTAAACAGCCACTGTGCACACCTTATATATCTGGACCTCTGTACGTTAGCCACTTTGGCTCAACCCCTTCAGTGGTCAACTTATGGTGGTTTTGCTGTTTTCCTGGCCGGCGAAAAGTGTTGCAATAACACGTGTTGTGAAAGCTAACCTAAGATATCACAGG